ATAAACTCCAGCAAGACTGTTTCAGGCTGGACATAAGGAACAATTTCTTTACTGTCCGAGCCCCCAAGGTCTGGAATAGCCTGCCATCGGAGGTGATTCAAGCACCCACATTGAACGCCTTCGAGAGAAACTTGGATGCTTATCTTGCTGGGATCCTATGACCCCAGCTGACTTCCTGCCCCTTGGGCAGGGGGCTGGACTCAGTGATCTTCCAAGGTCCCTTCCAGCCCTAATGTCTATGAAACAGGGAAAACCAGGATCCCTGGAGATAACCAACCTGATTATGTACCCATCAGCCCTCTTGTCTCTCTGCAAGTTTGTGTACACAGTCAAACCCTTTCTTCTCTCTAAAAGTGCAGTCTCAAGAAGTTAAACGAATAGAGGATATCAAACAAACAAGAACACAATTTTTGTAGAAAACAATGATTAAATCTAGGCTTCCTGACCACTGATTTAAAAATCAGTTTTATTTAAAATCAAATCCACCTTGAGATGCAAGATAGTTAATATTGCCTCAAATGAAGTTTATGAAGAAAACAATTTTTTGCTGTGGGATTTTTTTTTTAATTTGCCATAATAACATTCTGTTAAGTGTATATTTTGTATTAAATAACCTAAAGGCCCAGGGGAAAGGAAAAAGAAGGACCACAGGGGAAAAAAAAATGATTGCTTAAAATGCTGTAATAAAAGAGATCTGTGTTTGTTGTTAGTAAAAAAAGAGACCGACTCAGAATTAATAGGAAAGCTAGGAATATACAACTAGAGGAAGAGAACAGCGAAAGAATTTCTGGACAGACTGTTGAAATCACTGCCAGTGACTAAGAACAGGCAAATTTAAGTAGTTCACTATGTTTAAGGGCGTTTCACTTTCTTTTCTCGAATCACACACAATGCAACTTCTGTTCTGTTTACATTATACACAGAAAAATACTGGTCTTATTTTACATAGCACCTGGAAAGCCAAATATAGACTTTCACACAAAATAAAAAAAATAAAAAGGAGAACATTTCAATATCTGAGAGATCACAAAGCTAGCTACTGGGTTCTTTTAGCAAACAGAAGATCTGGGTGGGGGTGGGTTTTAAGGCTTCTACAGAGCTTATTTATTCAGCTAGAAAAAAGAAGTGTGATTGATGGTCAGGTATTTAGTCTCCAGTTAAGTTCTTTAAACTGCACCCAGGATTGTATTCGAGTACCTAAAAAAAAAAAAGAATTTATGCCTGGGAAATATCCATAGATTTTACAGTTCTGAAATTGATAAAGATTAAGCATTAAGAAGGATAGTTGATTGGAGCTAGCATGCAGCACAAGCAGGGTACCAAAAAGACACAAGATAAATAATACTGATGGGTATTTCATCCTGAAAGGTAAATGGCAGCAGAATGAAGGAAAATATTCCATTTAACTGAATAACAGACCTCTTCCTCAACAGAAAATTCTCTATTTTCTGTATTGGTATTAGCATTTTCTTTGGAGAATTTCTTTCTAGTGGCTGTCTTCCTCTGTTTCCCACGCCTTTCTGTAACAAAGGACACTTCCTCCTGACTATTGAACTCTGTGTCCGTGGAGGATGATGCACTTCTTTCAGAGTCCTATATGAAAGAAATGAGACCATAGGGTAGTGCAGGCTTCTCTGTATCTAACTAAAGGATGCACAAAGAAAAAACTTCACAAGTTATTAATGGAACAAACATCTAATACCCATTGTTCAGGAGTAAATTTTGCTTGGGCACTCAGGTGCTTATGAGTATCACAATAAACCCATGCAATTCTACTTATTCTCAAATGCTGTAGTTAATTAATTTTAGGTTAATTCATTTGGCTTGTAATTGAAATCTCCTGGATTGTTTTTATTTATACTCATAATATGCAATCAAAATATTTAAAGCCAGTCAGCATTTCACATTTCTCACTCAACTGGAAGAATCCTGTAGCTCTCTAAGTTTTTTAAATCTCTGTGGGATAATGCTAAAGGAGAAAAATATATACAGTTACTCTTCTTCAAAATGCTACTCTGCAGCAAGTTCAATTCCTAACAATGGAAGAGCACACTTTGATTGCTGTCACTGTACATATATAACCCAAGAACTTAGAACAGTGGTTCCCAACCTGGTACCCACGGGCACCATGGTGCCCCCCCCCCCCCCCCCCCCC